TGCGGGAGAGTTACAACCCCAAGACTAACCTCTGGACGCCTGTACCTGCAAAACAACGGAGACTCCAGTGGGTGGGAGTTTCGCCTCTAACGGTCAAGTTAGAATGTCTACGGACGTAACCTGTGTTTAATAATTTTAGAATGATGTTCCTTATAGATAACATCTCCCTTTTATAGGGTCTTGAAATGTGTGCCCAGTACTAGGTTTTCAGAAACCTAGGACTGGCTGGGCTTGCCTAGGTATTTGGGCCGTTAAAGGCCATTTTTCTAGTTGGCAATCTGCCTGCCACGTGTCGTGGCCTGATTGGTCCACCTTGGACTTCTCACGAGGTGACACGTGGCAGACTCTGGTTGGTCCACACGGATGACACGTGGCAGAGTTTGGTCCACGTGGCGGGAGAAATCCCCTAATCAATTATAATATAATCTTCCTCTTTGTTTCAAAAAAAAAATCTTCCTATTTCACCACGATATTTTTTTCATACAATAAAAATGATTCATGCCATTTATATAATAGTAATTATCTAAAATTATCACCAAATTATTCTTCCATACATCGCTACGTAAAGTTGATCATTTATGACTAAAAAATAAATATTATTTTTAACAAGTATTATATGCCGAACGATGTAGTGAAATCTTATATTATTAATAACTAAAACAGATACAAAAAATGACACGTGTCAATTCCTAATGCAATATTTTCCATTCCAAAACTATCCTCTCTCTTTTCTAGCCAAAATATTTTTAGATAGTACTTCATATTTATGTAATATGGTTTTCAATTTGGTTTTCTTATTTCGTATCTATATATATATATATATAATAAAACAGAGAACACTAGAAACAAACTTGACACATATTGCTATCTCATTGAGAATTTTCCCGCTCATTTTCGCAATCTTAAATAAAGCAATTTCATTAGTATATGTATCTGACATCTTTTTATTTCCTATAAAATCTTAGTAATAGATTTTTTTTGGTTCAAGAAATGATATATACCTAAATAAGTTACGATCATATATATTTGACAACAATATATAATCATATATAATATAATACTGTAATCTTATTTAAACCAATAATATATATACTAAAATAATTTGAAATACAAAGTTGTCAAATTTTATTTTGGTCATTATGTAATTATTTAAAATTTCAAAATGATTATAAAAAAAAATATTACTACATTACTAGGATAGTAAATTATTTGCGTTACTTTTATTTTCAATGATATTTTGTGGTTCTTTTTAGAGCTAGACTCCGTTCTTATCATCAGATATTTACTATACGATGAACTACTATTACATTGATTACATGGATAACACAATCTTTCATATGTGGCTTGCCACACCATACGGTCAGCCATCATAGGGGTTACTTCGTTAGTGTTATAGGGATTACTTGACCAATGTTACAGGGGTTACTTTGTCAATGTTATAGGGGTTACTCCATCAGTATTATAGGGGTTACTCCATCAGTGTTATCGGGATTATTTTGATATTTTACAAGCGGTCACATGATGTGGCTAGCCGCACACAAAACACACTTAATTGATAAAACGACTAAACAAAATTAATGTTGTGACATGCTTAATAATTATGGAAAACGATTGAGCTATTCCACTTTATTTACCCCTTTTTATAGATTATAACATTAGTTTCAATAGCATATAACATTAGACTGTTTAAGACATATGCGCAGGCACACACACATATAATTAGGCTATTGAAATTGTACTTGCATTGGCAATTGGGACATGGGCTGGGTTACGGGCATGAGTTTATGATTATTGTATGTACCTACAAACATAAAAATCATATTAAAAATATATATAGTCGACTTGATGAGGAGATAATTTATATATCCATCACTCTTGGGAGAATATAGATTGGAACACTTTATTTTTTAATACATTAACAAATTTTAAAGTAATAAATTTATACCATTGCGGGAAAGAGAAAGAGTGTGATTTACCGTTGAAGGACCAAAGCAGAGAATAGGTAGTAGAACTTCAAAGATTAATGGGAGTTACTTTGAAATTACCTAACATATCGATACTTTGTAATTTACTTTAATTTGTATTGAACTACTATTTACGTAGCATTAATGTTGTGTGATATATATATGATTGAACTATGATTGGTTAGAACAAGAATATCATACTTATATACTTTATAGGGTTGATATGTTATTGTAACATACTAATAAACAATCTATTAACATTAAAAAAAATCCATTAATACTCATTAAATAAATAGAATTTTAGATTTCAGGAAAAATTAATATAGTGAGATTTTTAAATCGTGCAATTGCATGGGTATTATACAAGTATACATATATAATAAACTAAAATATCATCCTAAATACTTTATACTACATACTTTGTATCTTTTCTTGCCAAAAAATTTTTTAAAGAATATTTGTATAATATAATTTCCTATTTGGTCATCTTATTTCTTCTATATACAATCTACTAAAATATTAGTCTAAATCATTTATAATTCGAATATCAATTTACAAGTATCTTTTCTTGCCAATTTTTTTTGAAAGAATATTTGTATAATATAATTTCCTATTTGGTCATATTATTTCTTCTATATAAAATCTACTAAAATATTAGTCTAAATCATTTATAATTCGAATATCTATTTACAAAAAAATAGTAAAAATGATTCATATCATTGATATAATAGAAAATATCTTACAAAATCACTTTATAATACAATTTGAATTTTATACACTCCCTCTATTTGTTAAGTGCATAATTTTCTAAAGAGGCAATTTTTATATATGCATCAGTTACTTCTTTTAAAAAAAATAAAAAATTAAAAATTAAAAAAAAAAATGCATCACTTACTTTTTTCAACATCTAGCTTCTTTTATTTGTAATTATATCTATCCCGTCACATGGTTTCCACTCCTTTTTAAAAAAAAAATTATTATTATTCATTATTTCTCTCCTCTCCCATATCCTTTATTTTTTGAACAATCTACACAAAATTTTACTCCATTCAATTCACCATCCTAAAATTTAGGGTTGATCAAACCAACATTTAAAAAAAAAACGAAGCGAGTATAAATTTGGCAATTTTTTCACTGAGAATATACGGTATATAACATCACAAATTAAGGACATACTAAATATGAAAGATAAATACTCATATTGTTTTTGAACAACTTATATCATAGGTCTAATTCTAGAAAAAATTATTATCTTAATCAAATTTAATCATATGGACTATTGTACATTAAATTGTTGGGAAATTAGTAACTAAAAGAAATTATCTAAATCTACCACAAAAATATTATTTTTTGCCAGTACACTTATTTGAGATAAATTTTAACTTTTAATAAAAAAAAAAAAATTATACCAATTACTATTCCTAAAAAACGCCACGTTACCATTAGCTTCATAATAAAAAATAAATAAAAAAAATCCGCTAAATCTTAAACTAATGTTACCAAATTATGTTTTTTTTTTTTTTTTTTGCAATCATGCTTTTTTTTATTAAAGAGATGTAATTTGAATTAGATTGGGAAAATAAAACTGATTTTACTATTTTCTTCCCTAAAAGATCGCTTTGTCTATCGAGCTAAACTCTCTCTCCTCTTTTTCATCTTATCTTATCCTCTCCCATCCCCCTACTTTTGTTTGTTTTTCTTATCCACTTTCTACATACCATTGAACTAAAAAAAAAAATCAAATAATATTATTGTAGTAAGTTGTGTATTTATATAAAAATTATTTCGTCAAAAAAAAATATACAAAACTATTTTAATAATATTTACGTAATATTTTTGGAAAAATGGTCAAAAATAATACAAACTTTCACTCGTCCTCTAAAATCAAGTCGAATTTTCGATTTTTTCTAAATAATACAAACTTTAGAGGGCATCCGCCTTAAACGAGACATTTTACCTACAATCTAAACAATCAGTAAACTTTTTTTTTTTTTGATAAATTCATTAAACAATTTAATTAACTCATAATTAACACTTAAACCATAGTTAATTAAGAAAAAAAACAAAAAACCACTCCTCCTCCCCATCGCAAACCACCACGCCCTACCCATCTCCTTTCCCCAGCGGCACCCGACCCTCCCTTCGGCGATCCTCTGCCGGCGCCTCAACCCCCTCCCCTGCACCGACGACCTCATTTCCGGCATTCCCAACCCTCCCCCTTCCTTCAATTCCCCGAATCTCTCTCCCTTTCCACGAAAACCCATGAAATCCCCCTCCCGCCCAACAAAAACCCACGAAAACCCCCAATTCCCCCTTCGCCCGCCTCGAAAACCCTAATCGGTTGGGTTACGACAATGGAAAAAGGGGAAATTTGGGGTTTTTGCGGGTTTTCTTAGGGAGGGTGAGGGATTTCGTGGGTTTTTGTGGTGGGTGGGACTTGGGGAAGGGAGGGGTGGGGATGCCAAAAGTGAGTCGCCGACGCAGAGGAAGGGGTTTAGGCGCTGGCAGAGGTTCGCCGGAGGGTCGATCGCCGCCGGGGAAGGGGACAGGCTATGAGAGGAAGGGGTTTTTTAATAATAATAATAAAATTTAAATTTTTTAAAAAATAAAAACATTAATAAAAAAAATCAAATTAAATTATCAAACCAATAAAACAATGACACGTGTCTCATGTACGTATTAATCAAGTCACTAATTGGTCATAAGTTGTTTAAAATTGATACCCTCCAAAGTTTGTATTGATACCCTCCAAAGTTTGTAGTATTTTAAAAAAATCGAAAGTTCGATTTGTTTTTAACGGACGGGTGAAAGTTTGTATTATTTTTGATAATTTTTTCATATTTTTTGGGTTGAATCCGTACATCATAAGGGCACTAACCTAATCATTTATTAACGCTTGAGTTCTTCAAACAATTATTTCCATCGATTTCACCTCCCAATTCCCTTCCACCATTCAAACTCCAAACCTGTCTTCTATTGATTTCAAAATTTGCAATGCAACATTTTTTCTAGTTCCTTAAACAAACAAGACCAATATTTATAATTGAAGTTAAATCGCGTAAAAGCCAAAAGCCTATTATGAGTAGTATTAAAGGATGATACCACATTACAAAAAGTCACACAATAAAGCTACAAGCTATAGTCACAATAAACTCACAAAGGTTACAAATCTTGGGATCGGCCAACTTACATATGTTACTGAGTATTCATATGGCATTGCTACTGAGTCCTGATATGGCATGGCAACAAAGTGTCACCATGAAAGAAAAACGTAGAACACATGCTATGAAGAATACTAATATCACCTTCAGAGTTCATTTAAATTTTTACCAAATTCTCGAAAGTAAGTTGACTTAATGCTCAATGTCCACTCCAATCTCTGACGAGGAAAGATGAACATCAGTACCATTTCCATTTCCTGTAGACTCTTCTGCAATGATTTCGTCTTTTAAACTAACAGATTCATTAATTTCAGCATTACTGCCTTCATCATTAACTTCATGACCCATAGTGGTTCCAGCATCCATGGGATTGGGTGCAAATATTCCAGCATCCATTGATGTATCCTGCAGCTGCATAATACCCACATGATCATTTCAAACAATTATAAACTCATAATGCTAAAGTTTAGTTTCAGACAGCAATATCTGTCATGTAGAAATTGGCAAAAGAAAAATCAGATAGCTTTGTTCGAACGGAGACTACATACACCCAAATTTCTCAAACTTGCAGTCACATCCTCCTGCTGTTGCTGCAGCGTTGTTCTAAGATCTTGAAATTCCTAAATGAATGGGTATTGAGTCATCACAATGATGATACATACTTGAAGGACAAATGAAAAAGAAAAAGAACGTGAAGAAAAACTTACTGATCGAAGTTGATCTACTTCAACATTCAGAGACTTCCTGAGTTCTACCAGCTCCTGAAAACACAGTTCAAAATATGCATAGAAATAACAAACTTGCAAAAAGGAATACAAAACAAATTCAGCTACAAGAGCATGATTAGGGAGAGAAATCTAAAAGAAAGCCCATTGGAGAAAAAAAGGTGAACAATTGTTTAAAATTTGAAGCATAAATACTTTGCCTTTACAAAGATAAACAGTTAAAAATTGTAATGCCAATCATAGTGAATACTGACAAACTTGAAGCATTATAATTGCATCACAATTCTGTTCCACAAATAAATTCTTCAAGAGCTGCAGGATATACAAGTTTCAACATTCAATACTTCGCATCATTAACGACACCAAGACCAAGTCTTTCACACTCCAAGAAAGAGGGGCTTATTCATCTAATCTGAAAAGTTTAATTATCCTCTTTTTAAAAACATTTTGGCATTCACTGCATACTTAAGAGAGTATGCAAAACACAGCAGGAAGAAAACATTAACTAATGCAAAAAAATAATGGTCTCATAGATATATGGTAAAACCATTTGATCCAAATATCAAAATGATCCTCTTTTATATAAGCTCCCAGAGTGTGTATCCTCAAGTAAGCAGCAAATCACCCTACCTAATGAGTATTTCAATACACGATTGTATGGCACAAGGCTGTTATGGTTATTTCCTTCAATATGGCACTTGCAAAAGTAAACGAGAGGGCTGAGCTCAAGTTAAAAAGCTTCATAACCAAAATGTGAGGAATGTTATGCCTGACTGCGGAAATTATAGTTCAAATATAAACAGAAGGAACAAATTTATTGGGAAAATTGAAAAACCATGGTTTATTACGCTAACAAATGTTCTCCCACATACAACGTAATTGGACTGTAAGAACCTGACCCGATGATAAATATAATAACATAATAAGTAGTAAACAATGAGAAGACAAGACAGGTTAAAATGCGGAGGATTTAAAGAAATTACAGTTTAACTATTCCCTAAATTGATTTAAAACAGACTTAAGCATGTGGGCTATTCAGGAGAAAATATGAGCAGGCTCTGGTTCTATAAATAAGTTTTTTTTGTAATATACACCAACTTTCCATTCCATCTTTCCCTTTCCCCTCCCTTCCCTTATGTGTCTTCTGTCTTCCCTAGGTGATTTACCCTCCCAATTTATCACAAATTTTCCACCATATTTGATTGATTCTTGTCTTTCCTTTTTTTATGCTTCCTCCGTTCCCCAAATATTGCAACATGGGGATGGGACACGAAGAGGAGAGAGATAGAGAGGAGTAAAGATATGGAATCATCTGATGAAGTGAGAAAAAGAGAGAAAACATTTGCAAACAGGGAAATGTTGCAATATTTGTGAAACTTCCTAAAATGGTAATTGTTGCAATATTTGTGGAATGGAAGTATATATTTGAAATTTTTGAACAAACTAACTTTATTTCAGCAATCTTTTAAATCTCACCACATCCAAACTTGTGAAAATACATTCAGTGGCAAACTAATAATTAAGAAAAATTACAAGGTATCAGCTTAAAATGCCTTGAACTTGAAATTTGTGAGATCCGCAAAGAGCTAAATCTAACAAAACTCCACATAGACAATTTCAAAACTGCTCTCATTGCTTCTTCAAACCAAACAAAGGAGGTTATTAACCTCAACAATCACTTAGTCATGGAGGTAAGAAGTACATAATACTCAAAGTAAATATAAAGGCATGCCTAGGACTGGCGTTAGGGATGTTAGTGGATCGGGTCAAGTTGGAGACCCATCCCGTTATGGGTCCCGATTTGCAAGTTGGTGAGGCGGAAATGGGGGTAAAAGTCATGCCCATCATGGGTTAAGGGTTAGGGATGGATTTTGAATTGTACTTGCCCTCGCCCCACCCCAAACCAATCAATCAATCAATCAAAACCTTAATCTCATAACTGGCCAGCTACATGAACCAAAGTGATTATTCCGTTTAGTCATTAACAAAAATCTTCCTCCTTTATCCCTTACGATCAAATGCCTCATTCTCATTCTAAGCAAGTCATTTTCGGTCTCTCTCCCTTGTTTAACCCCTCCATGGTCCCATTCATCCACTCTTTGTACTAGTGCACCCTCGGGTTTCCGTCTTACATGCCCAAACCAACGCATACGATTTTTCCTTAGTTTGTCACACCCACTTTCATGCAAATAACCTCATTTCTGATTTTACCTCTTAAAGTGTTCCCACACATCCACCTTAACATACGCATTTCCGTAACCTCCATCTTTTTAATATGCTCCTTAGAAGCCCAACATTCTATACCATAGAGCAACTCTGGTCTTATGACAGTCTTGTAGAATTTCCTCTTCAACTGTAAGGGAATGCTTCGGTCACATAACACTCGCCCCACCCCATACCCACATACATACATAAACCATGTAAAAAAAAAAAAAAAAAAAAAAAAAAGAGTAAAATAAAATAGTAAATATAATACTTTGTAGTAGACTTGTAATCAGTGTTTGAAAAAGCGCCTAGGCGCTGAGGCGCAAGGCAATAGGGGTGAGTGCTTAATTTGGTCTAGGCGCACTTGAAGCAAACTTCAAAAAAAAAAATTTAACTGCCCATATATTGCGCCTCACTTCAAAGAGGCGCACTGAGGCGCGCCTTAGGTGCACTTAGGCGCAGCAAAACCCCTCTCGCTTCCGAGCTTTTTTATACATTGCTTGTAATACAATAAAGAAAAAACTATTGTGAGATACTAACTTATTAAGTGAATTTTTGTTTGTAAGTTATAGTATGTAGTGGAGATTGTATTTTTGAAGCGGGGATTAGGCTGGCAGAGAAGGTGGAGATTAGGTGGGTGTTATCCAGGTAAGGGGGTAGGGTGGGGAGGGTTTTGGATTTGTACCTGCTGACAGGATAGATATAGATTTTGAGACCGCCGCGGGGATGAGAATATTAGGTTGGGATAAGGATGAGAATGTTAGGTTGGGATAGGGATGGGAAGGTCAATATCCACCCCACCCCGTCCCATTAACATCCCTATTAGGCAAAGTGATTTCCCTACCTTGAAATAGTTTGAGATAACTCTTATGAATAGTGTTTAACCAATTATAACCTCTAAAATAATTATTTACTTATTTTCCTCATTAATGATAATTGTCTTTTTCCTAACCTTTCAAAATTTTGAAAAAACTTTTATGAATAGTGTTTTGACAATTATACCCTCAAAATATTTATTTACTTATTTACCCTCATAAATGTTAATTGTCTCATTTTTTGAATTCTTAAAAATAGTGTATGTACATTTATACCCCTGACAAGATTTATTTACATATTTTCCTTCATTAATGCTACCAACAACTAAATTTGTATTATAGGACCAAACCGAAAGAACTTCCCTGACATAGATAGCTATGGCGCACACATTGTGCGCGTTACCCGCCCTAATTTCGTTAAGTTTCTTGGAGAGATGTTCTCTATACAAATTTGACACAAATCTTTAGTAAATCTGAAATATCCTTTATTAAAGCTACAAAAATTTTATGATTATGTAATGTTTTCAACTTAATATTTTTCAATGATTCTTATTGCGTTGGACCCAACAACATTTTAGTTTCATCTTGTTAATTTTCATGAAATTTTTAGAAGAAACGAACCTACACTCCTACAGCAAGGGCGGCAACAACAAATTTTGGCAAGAGTTGTAGGTAGGGATGGCAATTCAATCCGAGTTCGATTCGAATCCGACCGGATCCGAAGAAAAAAAATCCGATCCAAATCCGTTTAAAAATAGTCCGAATCCGAATCCAATAAAATAGTTCCAAATCTGAATAGGAGGCGGATCGGACTTGGACCCTGTGCAATGTCCGACCGAGTACGATCCGATTCAAGTTCGAGCATGAAGATATGCTTTAATTATGGCTTGGGACAATTACTTAGTTGTTTGTAGCAAATTTTTGTTGTGTAACTTAATTAATAATTTAAATATGTTATGTTTAGACTTTATAGCCTATATTTTTTCTAATTTTTTACGCACCAATATGATATAAGAAATAAAGTTTATTAGGAAAAACACAAGCAATTATAGGTATATCATACTTTACAAAAAAAAAAAAAAAAAAAAAAAAAAAAAAAAAAAGGATCATTCAGAGGTCCGAATAAACGGACCGGATTCGGATCCAAAAATAACGAGCGGATCGAACTCGGACTCGGATTTTTCGGATTCGGATCCAAGTGTAGGGTCTGTTTACTAAACGGATCGGATTCGGATTTAGCCGCATCCGACCCAAATCAGATTTGTTGCCATACTTAGTTGTAGGTGGTATGATAATGTCTTTTTTAAGATTCATAGACTTAATAAAGTACTATCCAAAAAATAGACTTAATAAAACTTACAAGATGATGGAATGGATTTGTGCTTATAGTAAAGACGAATATAGATATTATTTGACCTTTGAACTTGAAATGGTTTTACTTCGGCGTGAGTTAGAGACAATATAAGCAAAACAATCAAATAAATTTAGTTGTTCATAGCTACTTAATAGAGGAAACATCATAATCGAATGTAAGGATTGATAAAGTAAATCTTGATTCTCTAAGGATCTTCATGAAGGGAAAATTAAAACTAAGTTGTTTCATCATTTGATCCACCTATGGTTGGTGCTTCTTTCACTCAATATTTAAGTTCCAAAGAGGAGAAAGAGTTACTAAGTTGTGAATTTCATTTAATTTTAGCCTAGAACATAGCTATTTGCTAAAGTTAGATTTAAGGGTGAGGCAAAAGCCTTTTCTTTGTTTTATTAATGAAATCCACAATTTTAATCAACATGAGTAGTTTAGTGCTAAGTTAAAGGATCACTTGAACAGTTGAACTTGCAATTCCTAGATCTAATTCTGGTTTTGTGAAGTTAAAGTTGTCAAAGCCTTGGGACCTTCTTTAATCCCATGTCGACAACGAGGTGTCAAATGACTTTGTTGAATTGGGAAATCTTAACGCGCCTCATTTTTTAACTGATGGCTAAAATACAATCAAGAAGGATCCAAAGATCAAT